TGATATATGCCTGGAAAGCTAAGAGACAGAGCTACAATTCCCATATTTTTCCAGAATTTTTTTAGAAGGTTTAACAACCCCAAAACGTGCGAGAAAGTTAGATGTTAGCTTCCTTTTTTTTTTTGGTCAGACAGCTTCCTTTAAGTTGTTTAGGGTTTTGTTTTTTTTGGGTAGGTTTTTCCGAACATTTTTAGAGTAAGTTTATGTTCTATTATACTATATAAGGCCAGCCTAAAGCTCTCTATACTAGACCTCTTTACACAAGTGGAGATTGAAGAGAAGAAGAGAGCTTTAGACACACCACCATTCGTTATTCCGGGTTCCATTATTTTCTTTAATATATATTTCTTGTGCCTATTGTTGATTCGTGCACTTGCGAGTAATTTTAATTGGAATTTTTTAATATTCTTTTTCAAATGTTTGTTAATCTACATCAAGAGCCTTCATGAAACATATGACACGCTTGTTTTAGATATATATACCAGTGATTTATTGTCTAATTTCCATATTTAAAGATTAGAGGTATACAGAGCTATAATGATTTACTATTTAAGCTTGGCAAAAGAAGCATTAGAGGTTTATTATTTCCCAAGTGAGAGATCTATGTAACCCTATTAGATATCTCTCATATTGGTTTTGTTTTCTATTTTTCTTTCCTTGGGATTTCATACTTTGAGTAGAATTCTTGCTCATTGAAGTTTTGATCTACAAAGACGTTAGTTTCTGAAGCCAAGCAAAAACTAAGTTTTGAAGAAGTTTTTTTTTTGTTCTTTCTGGTGTAGGTGTTCCAGCAACATGAGACAGAGAAGAACAAACACAATGCTGCTCAGCATCCCCATAGAACTCATCGTCGACATACTCTTAAGGCTACCAGTGGAATCTCTAATACGATGTCGTTTTGTGTGCAAGTCATTGCGTAGTCTCATCTTTGATCGTCGTTTTGTTATGACTCAACTCAACAACACAGTCACAGGCATCAACATGAACATGAACAGCTTCAGGCTCTTGGTCTCACATAATGACTCTCTTCTTTCGATGTACTGCGAAGGATCCAAGGATGGAGATGGTAGTCATCTCGCAATCAAGGAGGTTGATCACCCTGCAGTAGTGGACCTAGATGTGTGTTTGTGTATTTTGGGCTCTTGCAATGGCTTGGTATGTCTAGAAATCGGCGACGACAACTCCATTATTATATTATGGAACCCTTGTACTAGAGATACCAAGGTTTTACCACAACCTCCATATCATTTCCAAGACAAGATGTTTCACGGATTCGGTTATGATTCTTTAACTGAAGATTACAAGATAATGTTGGCCACTGAGGGGCCTTCCGAAGTTATGATGAATGTCTTTTCACTAAAAAGGAATTCATGGAGGACTTACGAATACCTTGCTGATTTGAGAACGACTGATCAGCAGGGGTGCTTCTTAAATGGAGCTCTTCATTGGATAACGTCTGGAACTATCACCTCTCTGGATTTAGCAGATGAGGAATTTAAGGAGATTGTGCCATTACCCTATTGTGGCAACACGGATTATAGCTTCGAGGGAGTTTCGAGTGCTCGAAATTGTCTTTGTGTGTATAATGACCCGACCGAAGACACAGACTTTTGCATATGGATTATGAAGGAATATGGTGTCAAGGAATCTTGGACTAGAGTAATAAAAATTTCATCAGAGATTTTGGCTCAACAGGTTTGCGTGGAAGTGGATAAACTTGAGCTGAAGGCTGTATGCATTTTAGAGAGTGGTGAAGTTTTGATGGATCATGAAGGAAAGGTCTTGGTATCATATAATCCCAAGACTAGGACATTTAGGAATATTATTAAGGGTAAAGAAGATGATGAATTCCAGGCAACTACTTACCTAGAGACTTTAGTTTCGCCGGTAACAGCAGCAGAGGGTGGTGGTGGTGCAAACAATATGTGAACTCAGCCCAATTCCTTTTGCTCTTACTGTTTGTTTCTGGCTTGTTCCTTTTTGTTTTCTGCTTCAAAGCCTTAACCTCAAATGTGTGTTGTGTATGCGAAACAATTTTACTTTCCATTCAATAAATAAATAAAAGGCTGTGAATGGGGAGATATATGGAACATCCATCTTTTGCAATAACTAAGCCTCTGTTTAATATCAATGTATGCAAGAAGACTTGCAGAAGTTGGACAATATACTTCAAAACATCAGAAATCATATTGCCTATTCATTACAATCATAATTGTTCTTGACGAGTTTTCATATTTTTTAATCTTTGCAAAACAACCTCATTAGCTATACTATTAAAAATGTCTTTCTCAATATATGCAACCAAGCAATCATTCATCCATAAATCCCCTATTCTATTGCGTAACCGATTTTTCACAATATTCATAACAGAAAATACTCGCTCTACAAATATATTCATTTATGCTCTCTGTCTCTTTGAAGTAGTGTTGACTTGGTTGAAATATCATTAGATCTTGGGAGAGGTCTCTAAACATGTTTGTTTCGAAATATCATTGAATGAAGTTACCCAAACAAACAAAGAACATGACCAGAATCTATGTCGAAACATGTTAACAAGATTATTAGAAGGATAAAAAACTCACACTAACGTTAACTGACTTAGACAAACACTGTTTGTTACAAGACAAGAGTATAAATTTATATAAAATAGTTGATTAAAAGAGACAGAGATGATGGATCATGGATCAGTCCTAGGGGTGTAAGTTGGATTGGAAAATCCGATTCCGACCAATTCCGGTCCAAATATTTCCAAAAAAATCCGACTCCGATAAATCCGATATCCGAAAATGCTGAATCCGATATTTCCGATAAATGTCGAAAATTCCGCAATTCCGATCCGAAAAATTCCGAAGTTCTCCGAACCCATTCCGATCCGATTTTTCCAACTTGATTCCAAAAAATTCCGAGTTTCTAATTAAAATTGTATTATTTTTAGTTTATAGGTCTTATATATGTTTCATTTCTTATTTGTTATATTTTAGTACCCACATACAAATATTCATACATACTAAACATAGTTTATGGGTAATATATAGTAATATACTAAACATAGTAATATATATTTGGCAAATATGCATAATGTGTGCTTGTTATATCCAAACGTACTACAAATATGTAAATGTAGGGAGTATCATATCATACTATTATATTTTGTATTCTATGTATGTATGTATTTTTAAAATTTTAAACTATCTTCATTTAAAATTTTAATTATAAAATTATTTTATATATACATGAAATACAACACATAAGATAAGTATGTTAAGTGAATCTTAATAATTGTAGTATTCCAATTGCCTAGAGCAATAACACTCTTTACACATGTTCATGCCCACAAGAATCTAAAACCAACGTGATGGTCACTTGACTATAACTTGAGCATCAATTGATTGATGAATGTGAATCCATCTTTAGCATTTGAATCAATAAATTTTCATTCACATGATCAGAGCATGATGATGTTTGAAGGAGAAGATTTGACTGTTTTGGATATAATTTGATTGGATTGTTTGATCATTTGACGGAGAAGGGCTTTGATCATAGACTGAAACCAAAAACGCATAAAATAAGGATAGTTGGTTTTGATATACCATCCATAGGTTTTGGATGCATAGATGTTCTTTTTCTATGAAAGTTATTGGAGTTGTTGGAGTCCCATTTCTGAGAGTTGTTGGAATCCCACATCAATTGAAAACATAGACTTCAGATGTTTTCTTCTTTATAAATATCTTTACCCCAATTCAGTACTTGAATAGACTTCAAGTTCAGCCTACAATCTTAAGTGGACTCGACATGTCATTATTTAGTAGTATTTATGAAGTCTCTAGTTGGGTTTCTTAATTAATGCCTAGTTGGGCTTCTTGATAGAAAGCCTAATTGGGATCTTAATATTATTTTTTTTGTTAGTTACATATAATATTGATATGAATTTGTTCTAAAGAATTTGAAACTTCGGAATCGGAAAGTTCCAAAAAAATTCGGAATTTTTCGGAATCGGAACAATATTATACAAATTTGTTTTGAAGAATTTGAAACTTCGGAATCGGAATCGGAAGTGTTTAAGGAATTCCGAAAGATTTTGGACGGAAATTGGAATGGCTGTTTCCGATCCGATCCGGCCGAATTGCAGCCCTAATTCAGTCCACTACAGCCAAGCTTTGAAACTCGTCGCCAGAGATGGCCACTTCCATGACATGGCCAAATTCTCCATCGTTTTCCAGGAACAACTTGAGCAATTTGTTGGAGAAGCCAGTCAACACCGTCAACCCTGGTTGTTTATAAGGTATCGCCGGCTTATTCTTGTTGTACTCTGACAAATTCCAATGTACAAAGTGTGGCACCACATTCCCGTACCCCTTGTCCCCAAACTTGGACTTTATATTATTATAAATATACTTCCGGTCATGGAGTTTCACAAAACGTTTAAAGCCAGGGTGATTGAACACAAACCCCTTCTTGACCATCTGTTCTGGCTTCAAATTCCTCTTCACAGCCTCTTCAAGAATCAAATCAAACATTTCACTAAAATCAGGATGATTGCATGTTATCATCCTCCTCCTCACAAACTCATACTTGTACCTAAGATCGTCGCCGCCTTGTATCAATTCTAGCTGAGGCGAATCTTCATGGTAATTGATCACCTTCCCTTTCCATGGATCTTGACTCAGTTGAGAAACCAAAGAGTCACAAAGCAATCGACACCTCCATGGAGTCCTCACAAATGAATTTCGGGTCGACACCGCCGCATAGAACCAAGCAATTGTTGAGTACCATGTTATTGCCTTGCTCTTTTTATGTCCTCCACCATTGCGTTCCACTGAAGCTCAGCCACCTTCCCGAAATCCCAGTGGTGCACATAAGCTATGATCTGGTTTGGAAGCAAAGCATCGGCCCGAAGCTTGGACTTGTCTGCTTTCAAGAGCTCCAAATACGTCTTATGAGCAGGCGGCTCTATTGGATCACGATATTCGTATTGAGTGTTGCAGGCGTGAGCCAAGGGGTCCAAAATTTCATAGAGCTGTGACCTAACTCTACCCTTGTAATCAGCCTCTTCAAGACCTTGGAATTCCGACTGCCCTAGAGATTCAAGTCTCCCAAATGCCAATTAAGCATTGGGTATGGGTCTTGTCATATACCATTTTCTCAACCCTCTACCACACTAGGGTTCATTTATATGAAATATCCACCTATTAGAAGATAACTCAAAGAAAAGCATAAAAAGAACACACTGATCAAGTTATGCATACAAGAAATGTGTGGGAGAGAGACTCACAGCGGTGCTATCTTGCATCCAAATTCATAGAAGTGTAGACATCGAGATCTTAAATCCACAGATGCACCATCAGCCCCAAGTTCCAGTTTTGTTCTGACAAAGGAAGAAATCTACAAGAGTTAAATATGTAATACCAATCACTAATTTTGAACTTTGAACTTGAATCACATAAGTCACTCTTCATTCCTTCCCCAAAATCTAATACATGCCTGGGGCTGGCAGCAACTATGTTTGATCAGTACCAACTAATAAATTCAATGATATGACAATTAAAACACAATATAACGCAGAGAAGAAATGTCTGGATATCAGATTTCAAAGACGGAAATAACTGAAAATCAATGACCACTTGCCAGAATGAATCTCCCTGCAACTCAGCCCTAAAAAATGGCCATAAATTATTTTTAAATAAACCTATACAGATCATTACCTTTGATTGAAACATGCAGGAACCTTCATCTTTGCTACTTTTCTGAGGTGTAACTCATGGGCAAGCCAGTAAGGTAGCTCTACCTTTGAACCGGGTTCAACCTGAAATACAGGGCCAAGAAGATATAAGAAAATATCTCCTTCGAACAAAAACCATTCACTCCAAATCCACTCTGGTCACTTACACAATGGGTTTCAGCACTAGGATCAATATCAACCCCATTTACTGCTTGCTGGAAAACAACAGGGACACGCTGCTTGGAAACAGCAAACATGTTTAGAATACAGAATTAAAATGACTAAGTAAATAAAAGCAAATGGAGTTTAGATTTTGAGGATACAAAGAGACGGGAATTAACCTGTTCCTCCACAAGAATATCATCAATGTCATAGTAACTTGCCATTTTCAGAAAAGATCCCACTTTCCGTACAATGCTCCCTCCCTTCTCCTGGACAGACTCCTGCAGCAACGGAAATGACATATAGAATATAAGGCTAAAATTTTGACATTGTAGTTTAATAAAAGGTATTTGAACCAGTCTAAATTGCTTAGGATTTCCCATATTTAAGTGACATGGTTGCATTTGAAAACCCAAATTTGGGTTTACGATGTGTAATTGGATTCTATAGAGATATCGAACCAACGGATTCAAGATTTCTTGTTTATGCAATTCAAACTGAAAGGATACCAAATATGAACAAGTTATGAACTCTATGAAGCATTTTGACAAACAAGTTGCAGGCAAGAAGCAGACCTTATTAATTTCATAGAAGAAGCATATATAATTCTTTTCTTTCTTTCTCTGGCCGAGTATAGGGTAAGACTAAAAACTCAGAAAAAGAGATAAAACCCACAAATACCCAATTGGTAAAACATACATATCCAAACTTTAAAAGCAAGAATCAGATCAAGCCGACCATGAATCTACAGCATCACATAGCTAGCCAAAATATGGAACTAAAATTGTCGAAAATCCAATCTGAAATGACGATATAGAGTTGAAACTAATTATATCGAAGTTCAGAATTACCTGAGTTGTTGTTTCCCTTTTTCTTTTTTGGGGGTGAAATCTGTGGCCTAGGAGAGAGATTTAACTAAAACGGAGGGAAGAAGACGATCCAAAAATGAAATGAAAAGGAGGGAAACTCAAAAATATTGGAAGAGGGGGGTATTCGTGTGTAACGCAGTGTACCATTTTTGGAAAAAGTTTACGAATCAGACACCGCTTAACTTAACTGAGCACGTGTCTATGCCTAAGATCATCTGAAAGTTACCCACGACGGTTGGAGGAATGAAGCCTTCTCTCTGGAGAGACGACATTAAACATTTTTTCCCTCAAATAATATTTGTATGAGTTATTGACTGAAAAACAAACATTCTTCACAACTGAATCAAACAAGGGTCACAAACAAGCCTGCTTAAAAGGGTTTGATTATGTCCCAGATAGGCACACCTGTATCAAACCGGAAAGCCCTCTAGTGTCACGAACAGTGCTGCTTGATGCATCCTGGGGCATCTTTACCTAAAAAAGGAGCACACAGCATCAAGTCTTGGAAAGAGAACAGGGGACTAACAAAAGAAACACTAAGCTGTCCAGCTATCCACAAGCAAGATATACATAGCTCATCTAAATTCTAAACTTGTAAAGGAAGAATAAAATGAGTATCACAAAAAGAATCAAGTAAGATGGGAAGAATGTGCTGTGGAACCTAATTAATATGAAATTTGAACAGTGTTATGTTACCATACCACATAGATTCTCAAATGATGCTTTAAGATCATTGGACTTTCTGATAGTCACTCAAAATAGGATAGTGTTATCTTCGAAAATATACATTATGGAGTCAATGATAACATAAAGGAACAGACACAGCTCCGCATCATAATCTCTCACCAGAAGTTGCCTGGAAAATGAACCATAGTTGAACACACAAAAATAAGTAAATGTGAAGTCGGACAAGATCAATAACTAATACAAGCAACAATTAAATATTAATCACTTACACGAACAGAAGAATGAAGAATGAAGAATGAATGAACAGCATGAATGAAGAATGAAGAAGAGAAAGAGTAGTTGGGTGCCTTGTTTGTGGAAGCATGTGAAGAAGCGAGTTTTTATGATTTGTCACAATGAAAGCATTGAGCAACCTCCCAATGGCATGTTCAACAGCAAGAGCCCAGACATCGCCATTATTCAAAGTCTGCAGAAACAACCATTTGTATTAAGATTGATCACTTAGCATCTAGTTGCAAGTAGCAATGAAATTGATTCCCATCCACAAAAATAGAAGCTTGGTAGAAAGAACAATAAGTGATAGAAGCGTAAAGTTATCTGATGACATGTTCTGCTCCTTAACGCAGGCATATTGCTTCATGTTTTTCCCCTGTTTTACAATATCTATAATTTACATGATAAATAAAATGTTAAATAGCTATGTTTGTTGAATGTATGTGTAATCACATGTTGGTATTTTAGATTCAAAATTATGACATGAAGCATCGGGAGCATCAGCGAAATCAAACCAACAAGATCTGGCACCCTCGATCTTGTGGTCTTAGATGCATGTGAAAACAGCAGACCCTGTTCTGTGATAGTTGTGCATTATATCTCAGGCTGCCATTTTACCAAAAACAACTATAGTTCTTACGGAAAATGAAAATGTTTTGCTGTAAGTGCGGAACATCTGCATTATATCTACCTCAGGTTTTTGCAAGGCATTACAAACATGTTTGAGTTGAAATTCGTCCCACATTGGAAAACTAGAGTTCCTTGAAGATCTTTATAAGATACACTCTTGGACAAAAAGAAGTTGGGATTCAGCAATGCAAGTGGCCCAATAGAGTGGCTTGTGGGTTCGACCTTCCGGTC